TCGCCTTCGACAGTCTCAAGAAGGCCCCCGCCGTTGAGGACTTCGACTTAGGCGAAGTCTCAGGTGACGACGAGGACAGCCAGCTCAAGGCCTTCGTGGGCTTGCCAGGCGGCAGTGGGCAGAACAACAACAAGGGTGGAAATAAGCCCAAGCCCAAGGCCAAGACGAACAAGTGGGAGGAAGCCAGCCAAGTCAGCCAAGAGACCACTAGTGAACAGCTCAAGGAGAAGGCCACTCGATTCATGCTTGTTTTTTCAAATTAAGTTTAGCTCGAACCGTTTCTGTAGCTGTTTGTTCGCCCAACCATTTCCAGGCCAAGCTCTTCGTCACTGAGCTGGGCAAGGAATACGGTCTCTTGCAGGGCTTGAAGCTCCAGATCCAAGGCAGCGGCTTGGACGACAAGGCCACCTTCTTGAAGTCCCTCACCAAGCAGCTGCAGGCTTTGGAGCGGATCCGCACGACCCTGGCTGGCAAGAAGGCTTGCAAGATGGAGGACATGAAGCCCGTTTTGCTTGACGCGGTGACCACCCTCCAAGCTTCCAAGAAGCTTAAGGTGGAACTCACTAAGGCCCTTAAGGACGCCTGAGCAGTTTTTTTTTCAGGATGGCTGCATAGAGGCCCAAGCTCAAGCAACGTGTAACACGCAACAGTCTTTGGTACCACGGCCCTGCAGAGTCCAGCAAAAGCTAGAAGTCTTGAGTCTTGACCCGGCAGCTATTCCTGATGAGATTTTAGCTTATAGTTTTCATGAAGTCCAGGCAGGCAGGGTTTTCCAAGCTGTGAACGGCCTTAAGTCCAGGCCACGCAGTCTGGATGTTTTGAACCCTCCAGCCTCTTAGGCTCCAAGAGCAAAGGCAGTTCAAGGGAGAGAGCCTACTGAAACCTAAAGCTGGAGTTTCAAGCGCCAAAAAGAAGCGTTTTGCTGCCAGGGACTGCTGCAAACTGCCTTTGTTGTCGTGTTCAAGTTGCAAATTCCCCGCTTTGAAGCTTCGAGGACCAAGCCAGGTTTAGGTTTAGATGTCCAGGCGAAGCCATGTCAGGGAGGAAAAGGAAGACGGAGGACCAAGCTTCCTCTTCCTCCTGTCGCGAGATAAAGCCAGAATCTCCACTTGCGGTGGCCCTTTTAAGGCTGTGGTGTTTGGGAGACCTGAGCGCCAAGGTCGTCCAGGAGCTGTCCCAGGCAGCTGTCAAGTCAGGCTGCTCCCAGGCCGACCTTGTGGGACTTGCCAGCTTGGGTTCGCATGGTGTTAACCCGAACCACACGCACCACCAGCTGCTTTCCAGGGTCTTCAAGGACATGGCTGCTCCAGACCCAACGGTCGTGCAGACCAAGGCATGGGGGAAAAACGCCACAGGCCAAAAAATCCAGGTAGACTGCAAGCTTCCAGTCATGCTTCCGCACAACTGGATGCTAAGCCTGGATGGCATGGACGATGACATCCTGGGTATCCAGGACATTGCCAAGTTTTGGGACAGCCAAAAAGGCGCTAACTCCAGGGTGTCGCAAAGCCAGGACTACTTTGACCAAGTTTTCCAGGACACCCAAGCCTTGGTCCCTTTCGCTTTGCACGGCGACGCAGCTCCCCACTCCAAGGTGGACAGTCTGCTTGTGATCTCCATGAGAGCGATAACGTCACGACGTTCGATTGACGCTTGGCTTGTCTAGTATTCTTTCGGCAGTACGACCGCAAAATCACCATTTAGGTCTTGGTGTCTCTAATTTTTGCTTTCGCAGTCCAGGCAAGCAGCCAATTGTTGCTGGCCTGCATTCCCAAGTCGTGCATCACGCCCAAGCTCATGGAAGATCTTTGGACCAAGCTCTGCGAGTCCCTCCAAGCCATGGCCTCAGGAAGGTGCCCAACGACCTCCAGGCGGTTCAGGCCAGGAGTGATCTACTGCATCACAGGGGACATGGAGTTCTTCTACCAGGAATTCAAGTTCCCCAGGCCGAACCAAGCCAACCCTTGCCTTTGGTGCGCTTGCACCCAAGAGGGCGAGAACTGCTGGAACGACTTTCGCCAGGAAGCAGGCTGGAGAAGGACAACACTCAGGCCAAGGCAGCTGGAAGCCAGGCTGGAGCACCCGCTTTTCCAGGTCCAAGGCGTCAATGCTCAGGCTTTGAAGCTTGACGTCCTCCACGTCCTGGACCTCGGTGTGTCCTGCCATGTGGTGGGGAATCTGCTTTGGGAGATCATCGAAGACTCCAAGCCAGGTTCCAGGGACACCAACATGAGTTGCCTGAATGCCGAAATCCAGGAAATCTACCAGGAGCTAGGCATTCCTTCAGGCACCAGGTTGCCGAACCTGAAATGGAAGTCTGACATTGCCAGCAGTGCCAATGAGTACCCTTGCCTCAAGCACCAGAAGGGCAGGCGAATCAGGCATTTCATGCCTGTTGCTGTGGAGCTCGCCAGGAGGTACAGTGTCTAAGCTGCATTATATCTATAAATGTGAACACGACCTTATTCTTGTTTAAAGTTCTACAGCAATTTCAGGCTCCCAAGATGATCGCCGAAGCCTGCACCGACTTCGTGTCCTTGAGTCGCTGCGGGACATCTACGACTTGCTGGACAGGCAAGACTTCAAGTGGCCCCAGGACGTCAGGCGAAAATTCGCCGACCAAGTCCAGTGCTTGACCAAGCACTACGGCCATCTTGCCAAGCTGGCTTTTGATGCCCAGCAGTGTCGATATAGCCAAGTTTCCAAGTTTCACATGACGGCACACTTGCCAGAAGTTTCGCAGCACTTGGCCCCCAGGTTTTTTTGGACGTATGGTTCCGAATCCTTTATGGGCTTGATGTCTCACATCGCCAATGCTTGCCTTTCAGGCACTGCAGCTCACAAGGTGCCGGAAACCATCCTGTTCAAGTACAGGACGTTTTGGCATCTGCTTTTAAAGGGCTTGCTAGTGCTGGATGAGCCAAGCTGACCCAAGCAGCCAAGCTGCAAGCGGTCCAGGTCCAGGCCAACCGCAAACGGCCCAAGCAGCCAAGCTGCTCAAACGGTCCAGGTCCAGGCCGACTGCAAACGGCCCATGGAAAACAAGTCGCTTGCGCCATCTGCTAAGGGCCGGACGGCCCTATACGTACATTCCCAAGTGGTATAATCCGGACGCTTGCAAAAATGTGTCGCCGTCTATAGCTGCAGTTTATAGGCTCTTCAGATGGCAAAAGTAGGAAGCCAGAAGAAGCCGGCCGCACGGCAGGCCAGATACTTGCCTGTGAGCTTGTCGAGCTTAAGTCTGTTTTTTGAAGTTTTGGCTGTGCCTCGACAGGCCCCGGTCTCGAAGAAGCCAGCTGCCAAGCTCGCAGACAAGGAGGCCGTCGTCAAGGTCAAGGTCGTCAAGAAAAGACCTGCGACTTCCACGACCTCCAGTGGCCAAGCTCCCAAGAGCCAAACCGCCACCTTGGAGACTCCTGCAGAGACGACAGCCAAGAGGCCAGCCGCCACCTTGGAGACTTCTGCAAAGGCGACAGTCAAGAGGCCAGCCGCCACCTTGGAGACTTCGGCAGAGACGACAGTCAAGAGGCCAGACGCCACCTTGGAGACTCCGGCAGAGACGACAGCCAAGAGGCCTGCAGCCGCCACCTGCTTTGCTCTCGAGGCGGGATTCTTTCAGTGCGATATATAGATTTTGTATATATATATATATATATATCTAGATAGATAGATGTGAACCCCTATACCCTCATAACCAGCTTTTAAACCCTTACGCCGAAACAGATCTGCAGGAAGAAGACAACTCGGATGGAGGTCTGGAAGCCGTTTGGGAAGCTTGCCAAGCTGCCGAGACCATGGCCAAGGGGCCAAACCAGAGCCCGGACAACGTGAGCCTGAGCCAGGAAACGATGGTCTTGGGCATGTATGACCCTCCGATCACTCAGAGTGACTTTGAGCAGGCCATGAAGGAGTGGCCAGAGGAGCCTGACTTTTACCACGACCCCTCACAGGAAGCTGAAGCGGAAGCTCCGCCGGGTCACCTTCTCGTTTGGGATTTTTTGTCCCCGATTCAAAAAATGATCATCAAGCAAAACCCGAGAGTCAGGGACGGCTTGCAGCCATGCGGGCTGCCAGTGTCCAATACCAAGTCCAAGCCCAAGTAGCCCGGAGCTTTTTTTGAAAGGTAAGCTCCAAGCCTCCAGGGCCAAGTTTTGAGGAAGAGCTCAAGAGAATCTTCACCCAAGATTCCCTGCCGCAGCTGTGGAAAAGAAGTGTTAGGCTGGAATGCCTGAGTCCAATTCCACGTCCAAGTCCAAGTAGCCAGGAACCGTTTTTGAAAGTTAGGCTCCGAGGCCTTTACAAGGCCAAGTTTCGAAGGAGAGCTCAAAAGAAGCTTCACCCAAGATTCCCTGCCGCTGCTGTGAAAAAGAAGTGTTAGGCTGGAAGCCTTCTGGGAAAGGGTGGGGAAGAGAAAGTGAGAGATAGAGAAAGAGAAAAAAGAAAGAGATAGATATATAGAAATAAAAATACAGGTAGAGATGGAGAGATAGAGAGACAGGGAGATATAAGAGATAGAGAGATAGAGCGACCGAGCGGTAGAGCGGTAGATCGAGCGATAGAGCGGTAGAGCGATAGAGAGATATACAGCGATAGAGAGATAAAGAAGTAAAGATGTAAAGGTAGAGATATACAGGCAGAGATACGGATAAAGGTACAGGTTGAGGTCGAGGTAGAGGTATTATATATAGTGGTGGAGGCAGAGATAGCGCTGAAATCTATTGATGTCAGAAGTGTTTCTCGTTTGATTTGAGATAACATTTCTATTGATTTTATGGAAAATTTCTATTGATTTTATGGAAAATTTCTATTGATTTTATGGAAAATTTCTATTGATTTTATGGAGATTTTCTATTGATTTTGATGTGGAGGTTTCTATTGATTTTTATGTCGCAGTTCTATTGATTTTGAGGATTTAAATTTCTATTGAAAAAGATCGTTTTCTATTGAATTTGATCGACACAATCAAAACGCTGAGAATTTTCAATCCCGCTTGATTTTTTTCAATCGGCGGTCCTCTGGGTAGTCCCGTCAAACGGGAACCATCGCGGTCGTGAGTCCTGAAGCATCTTTTTCAGGAAAATCAATGAAGACCGAAGTGCAGTGTTGAGCCCTGTCGAAGCCTCACTCTGGACATCGTGGCCTCTTGAGTACAATGGGCGCAATGCAGCGGAGCCCACCTGGCCAAACAAGGTGGTCTGAAGAAAATTGAGTTTCCCAGCGAGTCTTTGCGCGACCTCGGGCTCCAGAGTATCACTATCGAGTGCCCTCTGAATGGTAGCAATGACCTTACTAAGTCGGTCTGGCGCAGGTGACAAACGGATGCCATGTTGAAGAATCTCCAAGATCACTCCCAAAAGTTTGTGCCGAATATCTGGTGGCTGAGCCTTACTCGGCTTCAGCCGCATTCCGAGTATCTCACATAACTCAGAAAACGCTGCAAAGCCGGGGGTGGCACCCTCCGCTGTGTCAGGCCCTCCGATATCATCCACGAAATGAATGATCAATAGAAACAACAAAGTGCGAGCCAGGAACCCCAATGCATCGACGCATCTATTGAAACACCAGACTGATGAAGCAGCCCCGAAGGGCAGGACTGCGTGAGCCCATAGGGTTGGCCCACTCGGGGTCGCCAATAACGTAAAAGAGTCGGCCGGTCTTGCAACTGGAAACTGGCGATAGGCCGCCCACAAATCCTGACACCAAACCCGAGTGTCAAAACCCGCTTGAGCGAGCCTCTGCAGCACTGCAACGTAAGTGTGAATGGTGTCATGGGCAGGAATGTCGCCTGCACCAATTGTCGCATTATGAAAGCTACGACGGTAGTCTTCGCATCGGCGCACCTTCTTGGCGCCGTCACTCCCAACTTGAGTGACTGAAAAAGCTCCTGCCACTCGAATGTCTGCATATGGCAGGGGGCTACATCGTTGCATGCCAGCATGGGAATGGACCGGCACGCACGCCCTAGGCCAGCTTGATGGCGCCTCGAATGGTCCCGACATCCTGCCAAGTTGCACCTCAGAGATGATCTCAGCGAGCATGGTCTCCCACTCAGGGTCCACGCGGCCATGTTGTAATTTACGAATCACATAATCATGATTCAAGGTGACAAAGGCCTCCACTGAAATGGGATGGGCATACTTGTCGTCCAACCTTGGACGCCAACCAGGGCTTCTTGAGAGCTGACCTGTAACCGGGAATCCAAGAGTCAGGGCCTCCTGCAATGCGTCGCTGTCGGGGTAGCCCGAACCTCGGAGCAGCTCGATAAACAGAGGTATCTGAACGATGTAACCGTCTGGCAGCGTGTAAGCCTGTTTGATGTGGGGGGCCAAACCCTCGTACCACTCACTTGTGATGACACTCATCTGATCGCGCAACTGAAGAATATCGGCAATCACCTGGGAACGAATTTGATTGACCCTCGCAGGACCCAATGACACCAGTCGTTGAACTGTGATCTCCAGGCCCTGATCCAAATGGGGATGGAGAAGGCTGGGGTGCACTGCATGAAGAGACGCTTCCCAATGTTCCCACATGGAAGAAACAGGAATCATGTGCACATGTTCGGTCATTTCTGATGCCCGACTCATGGGCAGAGGTGCGGCTACGGCAGCCTTCTGCGCCGAGCGCAAGTCGCGCACCCCATCAGCACTCTTGCTGCTATGGCCAAAAGGGCCCGGCAGAGTGATCACTCCATGTCGGAGGGCAAAATCCAACATGTGTTTCGCGACATCGACATGCCAGCTGTTGCCTAACAATCGAGCGCGATCCTTCTCCGTCAAAGAGGGGCTGTCAGAGAATCCTGAGTCAAAGTGATGCAAAGCTTCCTTGAGTTCAATAGGGAGCTCATGGAAACGCCCACGCTCGTCCGTGAGCATGTTCCGTTCATCATAGAACCACGGAGCATATTGCCGTCTGGCTTGAAGCCACCGACCACGTGCGGCACTGTCCACACGCTGCCTGGACTGCTTCGGGGCCTCACGCCCGGCCTCCGTCAAAGCTGGAGTCGTCAAGCATGGCAGCAGGTGTTTTCCCGCCCTGACATCGGCATGAAAGTGCAAACCTTCCGGCTGTAGGTCCTCGATGTTGTCGGGGGTGACCTGAAGGCGTAGCTGGGGCAACTTGTTGGGCAGTTGTGCCCATTGCAGTGGGGCAGATGATCCCGGCCAGACGGTCACGTCTGGCCACTGTATCCAGGACCACCAAAGTCGTGGCCGGGATACAACCCGAAAGTCACTGGCATCTGCGGCCACCGGTTCCGCATGAAGAGCTCTGGAAAAGAACTGCACATCTCCCAAATTCTTCATCACCACATTTTCGGCCAGAAGGCAAGCCTTCCTACCTGGAAACAACGCCAGGAGCTCCGCCAAAAACTTGGTAAAGTGGACGAACAAGTCCCCTGAAGCACCATCCCGGCCTGCTGCCGAAGAGCTCAGCTTTGAAAAATCTGGGCACGGGGCCCCCGCCGTGACCAAAAGAAGATCTTGATCACCACCCCGGCACCCCGAACCGAGCTTATCGCAGCAGCCGCTTCCCCCGGGGTGTCCTGTCGCAGATTTCCACGCTGCGATACGACCAGTTTCCTCGTGGCCCGCTTGGAAATGTGGATCGCCTTCTCATCGATCTCCCACTGGAAAGTGCAGCGAATGGGCTTCCCTAGCCGCTGCAGAGCCAAGGAGGCGCTGCCCATGCCCGAAAAGAAGTCAAGATGGATCACCTCAGCGAAAACCTCCGAGTCAGGGTCCACTGCCTGGGAGGTGACGGCGGGAAAGGAGGTTCTCGTGGGCGGTCAGTGCCCACGTTGGCCCGATTGCCCACCTGTTGACCCAATCGGCGCAGCACAGGAGGCTGCACGTCGTCTGAGTGGCCCGCGACCGGTGAGTCACTGGACCATGCATGCAGGGTGATCCGCAGATGAACCGGCACCCGATGCATCGCCGTGTGTCACTGTGCCCCGGGATGATTGGATGCCCTTGACCTTGGGCGTAGGTCGCAGCATAGCTCGTCCGCCAGCCGCGATAAAGGTCCCCGGAGGAGGTGGAGGAGGATGAGGCGGCTCTGGAACGGAACCTCCCGGACTGCCTCCCTGCCCGGGATCTCCGAATCCCTAGCCTCTCGGCTTCTGTGGTGGATGGCGCTTCCAATTGCCCCACCACTCCTGGCTGCCTTGGCTCGTGGATGCCGTCCACTTGGTTGCCGATGGTGCTCGCTTGCCATCGCCCTTGCCGCCCTGCTCCTCACCGAATTTCCGCTTGTTCGCCCCTGGGGGCTTTGCCGGAGAGCTCGGAGGCTTCGCCATGTGCTCCTGGTACAGGTTGATGTCATCTTTCACCACCTGCAGGCCCTCGGCAAAGGTCTTCCCGCTCCTCAAAACAGTGCACAACTGCCACATCGCAGCTTCGTAGTAAGCACGGAAATTGTCCAGGAGATTCGGGCGAAGGCGTGCCCTCTTCGTCAGTAGATCGAACAGCTCGTGGACATCAAACTCATGACCCCATTCCAGAATCACATAAGCCCACCTGAGTCCGTTCAAGGCGTCGCACACCGCAACCATGGACCGCGGCTCCCAGCTGTCATCCTGCTCCTCAGTGACGAGGCGGTCCCTATCGACGTCGATAATCAAATCACTCTTCTGCTTGCGCTTTGACAGAGGATTGACCTGGCCCGTAGCGTCGAAGCTCCGCTTGGACATGATCTCCCCCAAAGGGAGAGGAGCGAAAGCCCGACTCGTCTTCAACTGGTGCCACAGCTTGGCCAAAGAAGACTCCGCACCAAGGACCATGTGCTGCGGAAAACGCCTGTTCCGACCATTGATGACAACGTCCTCGTAGCGCCTGAGCTGTGCCGCCCAAACCCCCGGGGGAAGCGTCCGGGGCACTTTATCATCATTGGCCGCCGACGACGGAGGCGAGGGAGTAGTTGGAGTTGCCGTAGCGGGACCTGACGGTGCTGAAGCCCCCGGGGTCGAAGATTGATCCTTGATCGCAAGTTGGCGCATATAAAGAAGCACTGCAGTGGCTATGGGCTTGTCCGCTTCCGGGATCCGTATGGTCTCAGCTCCACTAGTGAACCCTGCCATCAGGGGCTCAACAAAGACTGTGCGGAAACTCGGCTCATCAGCTGCTATCATCGCTAGCGTCCCCGCGGAGCAGACTCCCCTGATGCTGAGATACCTCCGTATCTCCGCGCCCGCTCCAGCCTTGGTCGCTATCTCATCTAGCTCCATGGCCCTGAGGGGAATCGGCCCCCTAGGCCGGAGGCAGCTGTAGCCCAAAAACTACAGCAAAGCAAATGTGTTCCTGTTCATGCGAGATGTCTATGGCTTCTCTGGGCTTGCGACGGACAGTTAAAACCCTGCAGAATGTGCACCACGCTCAAACCCTCATTTCAGGTCGCGACCAATTCCGCTTCGCTTCTTCGTGAAGCTTGCGCGGGAGCCTCCTGTCCCGTCGCACAAAAACACATGTGAAAGCCCTTCACAGATCAGCTCGCTCGCCGATCCCAGGCCTCACACACCTTGAAGCCGACGCCCACCGGTCAGCTCAATCTACCTCCTGTAAATCGACTCCGTGAGTGTACACCGTCGGAGGTGACACCACCATCAGTCCTGGAACCCGAAGCGGCGAAGTCACCGGCAACCCCAGGTCCTGTGGGCCACGCTCACAACAACATGTGCAAGAACAGACTCGGAAGAAAGCCTAGTGAGCGATGTAGTGCAACACCCGCCACTCCAGGCCATTTTCCAATGACACCTGCATCTCGCCGCGCGTGGCGAGTCTTAAGACGAAGAACTACTATCGGAGGAAGAGGAGTCCAAATCGCTGGACCCCTCTGCCTCTGAGCCCTCAGCTTGGGCCGCCTGCTCGGACTCTTCTGCCGATGGCGGAAAGCACCGCATGCACTTCGCCCATTCTGGGCGATCGGATCTTGTCCTGAAGAATCTGGAGTTACCATAAAGGATCCCGCAAGCTGTTGCCCACGTCGTGGGGTCCTGCGATCGCTCCCGCGGATCGGGAAGATGGGCCTTCTTTGTGCGAACGTTGACAACAAGTGTCTCGATCTCAGACATGTCTTCCACAAAGCCCTGGAAACCCAGCCTCAATGACGCTCGATGTCGTAACCGTGCCGATTCTTGCTCGGCTGTGCCGCCCGGTGGCGGAGCGCACGACACCTCCTGAATCTCTGCCGGCATCTCCATCTGGATATCCTGATCTGAACCAGCTGGCAACACAGCCGCTGGGGGGTGGCCGCCAGCCGCCTGAAAGGATGGACCCATCGATAATGCCTGAGACACAGCGTGTGGCACCTGCAACAACGGCGCGTTCTGCAGATATCTCTGAATAGCAACTGATGACCATCTACCATGGAGCTGGACAAGGTCCCATCGCAATCCAATCAAGTACAGATGCTGCGTGCCCGAAACACGAAGGACGTGGCCTCCGAAACGTTCAATCATACGACCTGCCTTGTCGGGTCTCTGAGTCGAGACCCCTGCGTGTGCCAAGGTCTGGCGGATGACCTGAATCATCTGAGCCTTGCTGAGTACCTCTCCCGAATCTCCCGGGAAGAGGGGGATCTTGGAAAGACCCAATGAAGCCTGCAATATCTCCAGTCGTTGCAAGTGGCGCATAGATGCATGGTAAGGGCAAAGACTCTGTTGCCGGATAGCACATCCGCATGCCAAGCTGCGTTCTGTCAATTCTCCAGCCGTTGCAGTCTTATGCACAGGAAGAAGCAAATGTACCAAGCCATCCCTAAAGTATAAATGTGCGGAATCAGCTCCCGCCATTTCGATTTCCCTCATACAAAAGTAGGATCCCACAAGCAGGGCATCTGTTGCTGCCGCCATGGATGTCCAAGAAAAGGACTCGTATTCCGAACCCGGGTCGACCTGAGATTCTAAGATACTGACATCGAAGGAGTCTTTCAGCGAAGCCGGGCCGAGGTCTCTCTTGATGGACCTGATGCAGTCTTTGATAAGCGCCTTAGCCAAAGGGGACACTGGGATGTGCAAGCGGCGCATTTGGAAAGAAATCGCTGCCGAGTAGTACTGCTGAGCCGACCGATATCGGCCTCTCTTAAGCGAAGCTCCGACAGCTCGAATGTTCTTCTCATCCAAGGGGAAGGCAACTACTTCCCATTCTTCGCACAATCGGCGCCAAACCAACAATCTAGATTCCATGGGACCCACCGTGGTTTTGGCAAAAATCTCATCATCCAATTCTTGCAGGGCCCTGGCCCTCTCGCCCGGAGCAGCTGCTGCCAAGGCAGCCGCGAAGGATGCCCGCTCTCGCCGCCTCACGGGCGGCAGGTCACGCCTTTCCCTCAGCAAGGCAGGCGATCCATGAAAGCCCGCGGAACTAAGCAGAACCTCAAGCTGCCAACGAAGGACCCCCTCGCGCAGGAGCCTCTCGCTGGAAACCTGAGCCTCCTCAACTGAAAAGACCTCCGCTCTCACACAGGCGGGGGCTATCTCCGAAAGACCCCTAAGCCGAAGCAACTCCCAGAAGCTGGCCGCCGAGGCCATTGAGCCGAGGAGCTACACACACGGTGACTCGACCCAAAAACCATCCTAACATTTATGCAAAACCGTCGGTCCTCGCCCACGGTGGCCAAGACTCTCGTTAGAGCCCTTGCTGCCCTTAGTTCCGGAAAATCGTGATCTCCATATGGCATCGGCAACACCAAGGCCAGCTGGATGCGGGAGCGCAAGATCACCGAGACCGTCTCCGAACGTGCGTCATCTCTAGTCAAGAAAGCTGAGCCCCTGGGAGGTAATAAGGCCGTCCCAACAGGCTCGGAAATGCCACAATGGATGCTGGTCAGCAAGTCAATCAGCGGAACTAACTCAGCAGCATCCCGAGAAGCCAGCCAGCTATGCAAGGTAATCAGGGTGTCGAGTCTGCTCCAGCATCTTGTCGTACACCTCGGACGCCTCGATACCCGTCAGGACACTCACAGCGGCTAGCTGACGAAAAGCGAACTCCACACCACGGGTGGAACAAGCCATGGCTGCAAGAGCCAAGGAAGAGAATCAAAAGTGGCACCTCGAGCCGATAACTTCGGTATCGGCTCGGTGCCCTTTGTCAAAAGATGCATGCTGCATTCCCTGACAAAACGATGACGAGGAACAATCAAATCATCATCGTATGTCGGTGATGATACTTGTACGGGCATGATGTCAATGACGATGGTGATGATGACGACGATGCTGATGATGCAGATGATGGTAGAAACCATGATGATGAGAGCCGAAATCATGATTTGTTGCCAGCAACAGCTAAAGTATGTTCACCCTGCAAACTCCGAGGATGGTACGACCCCCGACCTGCCTGTCAGAAACACGTGTCGCTGACAACGGGAATCAAACCGGACACAAGTGGGGCTGTGACATGTGCCAGCCATGCACCAAGAATGGATGAGCATCTCTGAGCAGCCTTCTAACTTGGAGCCCTCAAATCCGCACGCAGCATCCTCAGAATCAAGAAATGCCAGCAGTCGACAGCAGTTGAAGCACACTGCCACAAGCGATGTTAGTAGTGGCCCTGCGCCAACTAATTAATAACATCCCATGCCGCATGCAGATTTCGTTTACCTGGCGTCCTGCTCCGGTCGGTTCGTCTTGACCCAGCCGCCAGACTTCCTTACCAGCGTTGCCTCCACGTGTACAGAAACAATGCTGTCCTCAGGGTCGCCACCTTAGACAGGGTAGCAAAGCCAATTAAAGGCACGTTTCACCTTTTGTTGTCAGCTTCTCAGGAGTGCACCGATCTCGCTCTCCACCTCAAGCCGTCCATCCGGCCACAGGACCAAGCGCATCTCTGTGGGCTCCTCTAAAGACCCGTCTGGCAGGAGCCTGGGCAACGCAAAAAGGATCTCTTCCTTTCGCCAGGCCCAGCTTATGGTAGCTGCCCGCTAGGCTTTACTTGCTGGCAAAAGGCCGCAGCACCAACGGCTTTGCGAAGCCCAGGTTCTCCACACACCAGGGTTCACTGCCTCAAGACATTGAGAGCGATATCATGAAACTGCTGTGATGCATCCTTCTTCGCTCCGGGTGATCTTCAAACCACAGATTTCGCCAGTACAAATCGGGAACTGAGGCCACCACCTACAAAGGTTGTACATCCGGCGACAATCATCTCCAAATAGCATGCTCCTGGAACGACAACCTGGACGCCACCCATCCGGAAGTCATACAGTGAAAACGTTGGGGGGAGTCTTGGTGTGATCTTTACTGCTAGACACTCGTTACACGCGCATAGCTAGCTGAGCACGCCTCGCCGTGAACGATGTGGTGAGAGAGCAGAGCAAGAACGTGGCCGCCGAAGGAGCAGCTAAACACAGTTGCGCCGTCTGCTCGTGTACTTCGCCGCTGAAGCAGGGGATGGCTGGCTTCCCGCCAGGGGTAGGCCTGCCAATGCACAGCTGTGGTTAGCGGGACCCACATCTGCAGCATGCCAGCTGCGAATCCCCAAGTCCGCCATACCATCTTCAATTCTCAGCAGCATTGACATCAGACGAATTATTGGCCCTTGCTTGCCTGACGCTCCAGGTCAGCTGCCGAGCGCTTCGCAGCTGCCAGTCCTGTCCGTTTGATGTTCGAAGAGACGCGATCGAAGATGGAGACAAACTTGTCCCAAACATGAAAAGCGGATATCTTTCCACGTTGCAGTTCGTGAATCATCGTTCGTGGCTTTGTCAATACCGGAGTTCGAGTGCTTACGGTTGGAGATGGTTGGAAAAGTCTGCCTATGTACTTTCGCGAGAGGGCCCGGGGATCGGCAGGCAAATAGTAAACAATCGCTCTATAGCTTGACGGCTTGACGTGTAAATCTGTCGCGCGTTTGATGCGTGGGATCCTTCCACAACACATGCTACGCACAAGTGAAACAGAGCAAGAAAAAGAGGACTGCACTCTGGCCGTGGAAGGGAGTGCCACAACATGCGTGACCATGGTAGCTGCAAACGTGGTGATCCCTGCGAGTTCAGCCATGACACAGCTCTGGTTGAAGCTGAGAGGAAGAAGCAAGAAACAAACAATGAGAGTTAACCTGACGGATATTGACGGATGACACCGCAGCGAACCTGCGAGAGGCACATGTTTTTATGCTCGTCAGTGCCGTTCAGTCTCTGACTCTCGTCGAATACTCCGCTGTTGTTTCGCGCTCACCGGACTTACCGCAGGCCGTGAGAAAGCGTCCACCATGCAAGAGTGACTAGTGCTTTAAGTTGCAAATTCCCGCATTTCTTGGCAGAACTTGAAAAGAAGCTTCATTTCTCTCGTCTCCCTCACCTTTTCGAGGTTAAGATCCAGAGCCCCTCGGTTTGAATGGGAAGCTGTCTTCTCCGTGACGAGCATGTGACAGTTTCAGAAATCCTGCCGTGAGGTCTGGGCAGTGGATGTGAAGAACACGTGCAAGTGCAGACGGGCGGGCCTGGGAAGGTTGAAGAGTTGAAGGGCTCTTCAACTAGGGTGCCTTTCACTTTAAGGCAGCTACCCCTGATTATGGTAATAAAGCTTTTAGGCCCTAACAGGAACGCTCACTCTAAACAACATGGCAGCACCCACCTGTTTTCATCGGCCGAGCAAGCAGCACGTGGCCATTGGTGCCGCCGAATCCGAAGGAGGACACGGATGCCGCTGACATCGCTTGACTCGGGCCTGGGGTCTAAGAAGAATGAACCGCTTAGGCAGGTACCTTGAGGGGCTACTATGGGCTACTGAAAAAAGTATTTTATCTCATCTTCTTCTGAGCTCTTCAAGCTCGAACACTGTCTTTCTCTCCCAAGTCTAGAGGGCACGCTTCCGGTGTGGAGGCAAACCCCTTGGTCGAAGTCTGACGACCCTACCTTCCTTCGTCTCTGGAAATCCTTTGGATCAGGCACCCTCTTCCGATATCGAGCCAGGGGACATGCTTCCGAAACAAAGTTCACAGGAAATTCCTGCATGTCATGGAAGATGTGGGAGTTCATGTCTCTGAGGTGTAGGTTGGCCGACAAGCAGTTGCGCAAAAGGAGCGATGCCAGCTTGGTAAGTCCGACCATTCCTGCACCACCTTCCAAGTGGCCAACGTTGGTCTTCACCGCGCCGAGTTGCACGGTCTGAATCCGTGAGCCTCCCAGAACCACCTGCAACGCTCCGACTTCGATGGGGTCTCCAAGGGCTGTGCCTGTGCCATGGGTCTCTACACACACATGGTCAGCCGGTTGAAGTTGTGCCTCTCCAAGTGCAGCCAACACCACTGCCTGCTGTGATGGACCATTGGGCGAGGTGAGGTTGGAGCTGCGTCCATCTTGGTTCAGAGCTGAACCATGCAGTTCCGCCAACAGCCCTGAACCGTACCGACTTCCCAAACGCTCCAGTGCCTGTGCACCGACACCTTCACCACGAGCATAGCCGCTGGCAGTGTCATCAAAGGTGCGGCACCGTCCACCCTTTGAGAGCATTTGTGCTTGACAGCAAGCAACGAAAGTCTGCGGAAGCAACATCATGTTCACACCGCACACCACCGCCAACTCACATCTCCTGCGTCGAAGAGTGACTGTTGCAGTGTCCGCTGCAACCAAAGATGATGAGCACGCCGTGTCCATGGTTGCACTCGGGCCTTTCAATCCCAGGACATAGCTAATCCGATTCGCGCTGATGGACGAGGAGCCACCCGTGGCTGCATAGGGACCGCTTTGGTCGCCAGTGATCATGCGATTCCAGTCGCACTTGTCCTGACCCACAAAAACACCTCCGTAGCTGCCCATGAGGGTACTCTTGCCGAGGCCGGCCGACGTGAAGGCTTCGAAGGCTGCCTCCAGCAGGTGCCGTTGCTGGGGGTCCATGGTCTCTGCTTCGGCCTTGTTGATGTTGAAAGCCTCATAACAGCTGTCAGCGATGGGAATAACCCTGCTCTCACGACAGCTGCATGAAACAGGACAACATCGCAAACCAGAACAGCTACCCAGAGTCAAACCTGCCCTCTCTGAGCGCCCGACAGCAGCTGCAAAGAGCTCAACACCTTCCACGAAGCCCGCATGTTTCACATACATCTTCAAGCCAGTGGTTGCATCGGGGTCGTAGTACTCGTCCACATCCCATCTGCTCTGCGGCATTTCCACACTGCAGTCCACACCCTGGGAGAGCATGAAATCGAACTTCTCCAAGGACCAGCTGTCACCCGGGAGATGGCATGCGCCCCCCAGAATTGCAATCGCCTCGTTGGAAGCAGGAGCTCCAAGTTGGGACGCCGCTGGCAAACATTCAATCTTTGTGGACACAAGCTGCTCGGCCACGAAATCTGCAAGCGCAGTGAGGGTGGGGTAGTCGAACATCAGGGTGCTTGGCAAAGTGGCCGAGCGGAAGTCTTTCGAGACCTGCCGATCACCACTCACACTTATCCGGTGCTACAGATGGTAAACCGCAACCTCGTGAGTCCTAGCGATCCATCGTGTCTTCGACTAAAGCAAACATACTGAACACATGATGTGACACATTGCATCGTGGTCTGCTGTGCTGCATTGTGATGTCTCTCTGCCATGCTACACGAATACAAACAGGTACTAAGACTTCGGCCTACATTCCCACTAGCGTTGAGGGGATCTGGTTTCGACAGAACTGTCAACTGTGAACCGTAAAATCCTTAAGCCTGATGCACCAAGCCGTATTCACCCCAAAACTCAAAGCCCTGCAAGTGTCAGTTGGTTGCTTTCAGGACCAATGAGTCTGCGAACCCACCGGCTGTTGACAGTCCGGACATGCTCAGCAGTAGCCAAATCACGGAGCCATGATGGATTAAACATGATATGAGCGACAAAAGCGCTTTCAACCTCCGAGCTGTTTGGGAAAATGAATTCTGCTACGGATGGGCTTCATGGTGGGCCAAAAAAACAAATTGGATTTGATGTCATGACCCAGGTATTACTTCTGCACGATCAGTGCATGAAATGGGAACGGTTGTTGCGGCTGGAACTGGGGGCAGTCCGGTGATGATGCTGGAGTGTGGCCTGTCCAGAGTGCAGCAGCGGAGAAAGGGTTAAAGATGTTGGGACATGGTCAATCTGGCTTTGACTTTTGAGGTGAAAGGCCAGCTTCACGCGCAAGGCCGCAAGGGGGGCCGATGCGAGGCATTCAACCGTTGCCTGGACTGCAGGCATTGGGCTTGCTCCAAGGAGGAGCCAGGGCAGATCCAGGGCAACTTTGGAGTTTTACCGGCTGCCTTCGGCAAGGCAGTTTGGGGGAGAGGGTGCCCTTGAGGCCAGCACGCCCGCCCCTACCCGCATGTTGGCACTCCTGACACGTCGGCGGAGTCGGGGCATGATGAAGCCGTGAAGGATTGCAAAACCGAAGAGTGCTAGGAGCCTGAAAGCCCAAAAGCCCGAGGCGCACCTTGTTCCGAAACTCCACGGCAGACAAGGAATCCATCCCGGCCTGCCAGGCGCTTTTGGGTTGAGGCGCTTGGGGTCTTGGCAGTGACACAGTTTAGGAATTTGGGCTGGGGGTCGAGGATCCAAGGGAGTCATAGGGGTCCGGGAGTGTTGGTCTTTCGGCTGTTGAACCCTGTGTCATCGAGCCTCCATGAGAGACGTGGTGTCGTCCGTCGCCTGGCTTAATTGCTTTGCCTGGTAGTTTTCTTGGTTTTATATTTGCTTGCTCCGAACCAGTCACCAGATGCCATTTGTTCGTTGGACTTCGGGGTCAGCCATGGGGTCGGGAATAGCACAAGCAAAATCCGAAACAACCTAAGACCGAAACCCTCTGCCATCCTACTCCACGCTCTAACATCCACTCCTGGATGGGTGTCTAACTTCCTTCCTGCTACCCACCATGACAAGACGACCGCGAACGGCAGTCACATGCTAAGAATTGAGGAACTGGCCGAGGAATAGCGTCCAAAGTGCTGCCAGGTCTCCAAGCCCATGCCCGAAGCTGCTGCCCCAATGGACTTCAACACCTCTACGCGACGTTCCTCCAGTGGCAGCTGTGCCAGAGCACTTCCGGCACCTGATGGCTTATGGGCTTCCTTCAGGGTTTACTGTTCTTTTGGGATGCTTGACAGCCAGGCTATGCATATCACTTCCACGAAAGAGGGACTGACAGGGCCTTGCTGGAGTTTGGGCTCCTGGCCTTGAATCGCCTTCCCGGCTCCTTTGGAATCCTCCTTCGACATCTTCGACTTCAGATCCATCAGGCGGGATCTCCATGCCAATCTCTCGCATGAAGGATGCCAGTCGACTCTGGCCAACATGATTTCGGCACGAGGTGTGGGGGCCGCGAGGCAGAGCCGCAAGGCGCTGCCCACGTGTGCCGGCGACAGCGTTTTCACAGCAAAGGCCTCAGCTTATCACTGCCTGCAGCCGCAGTGATGCCCACCTCCTCAGACACGGGGCCCCACTGAAGGCTAACGCCAGAGCGGCCAGCGCCACGGCGCCAGGCGGCCAAGGCATCCAAATACGCATTGGCAGAAGAGTAGGAGGCGAGGCGGAACCAGCAAGGCCTGCCGAAGATTTGGTTATCTCAGAGGTGAAGCATGCGCACACGGACACGCAGGCCTACAACAGCGGAGACGGAGCTGAAGAGAACGAAGAGGCTGCTGTCCGGGCACTCGCTATGCAAGTACCATGCGCCGTAGGCCTGGAGCCAGCACCTGTGGACCCGTTATGAGCCCTTGCAAGCTTCGGCTAGAAGGGAGACAAGGCACGGCTTTGCCTTGTTGAGATGCGCAGTGTCCAAGTCCGACAGTGGGCAACGCTCCATGATGCCCGCAGCATGCACCACACCTGAATCACTCTCAGTCAAAGGATAGTAGATGGCAATGGGTTCCAGCGACAAAGCCGGCATGCGCGTGTGCGTGGGTAAGGGTGATCAGGCCTTGCACAGGCTCGCCTGCATCTTTAGCCTGCTTGACAACCTTGGCGACATCTCCTGCTTCGCCGGCATTGCAGATCTTCAGCTGTACGTTCCTAGGCTGACCCACACCCTGCTGACGGAATGATTAAGGGCTTGAGTCTCCGTTTGTGCCTTTCAACTCTTCAGTCAAGCCGCAGGCCCGGCAACGCCTGCAGCCTTCGAAGCTGCTGTTCCAGTCACTTCTGACCTGAGGAGCTCTGCAAAGCCACCAGCTTGGGACCATGTCCACAGCAAGAAGGATACGAATCATCTTCTAGCCTGCAACCCTTAAGCCTTAAGGCTCCGGACCTGCGACTACCCGACCGTTGCGAGACGCGAGCAGAAGGCCTCACATCTTAGGTCGGATGCACCAAAAACTCTCTCTTCTGCCAATTGAGACGACGATCAATACAAGAGACAGATCGCAGCTTGATCTGGCCCTGGCCTGGTGCTCCAAGGGCTGCCAGCTCCTCCGCTGCCACCAAGCCTTAGGACTTAGGATGCTTTTGGACTTTGCGGCTTAAGTGCCTTAAGTGAGCAGTGCTGTGCGGCGACTAGTCTACAGCTGAGGATCCGAGTCCTCCCAAACCACCAGTCACGATCTGAAGGCCAGTCTTCACGTCCGTGGCCGAGCCCGAATCTCTCATGGTGTCTTGCCGTTGCATGGCCAAAGCCCCGTTCTGGGAGCTTCCATCAAGCGGGGCACGCACCTGCCCCAGGCCGTGTGAGCAACCTCGACGTCACCATCTGGCCCCTGCAACTCGGCTACAATGCGCTTGGCGATATCTTCGGAACCAGCATCGACTGCCACGTCAACTGTTTTTGATCGTAACGCGAGGCATCTCCATTCTCGCCGTGCGGATCAAACCCCAGATCAGGGCGCCTGCGTCGAAGTTTGTGCATTTCGGGTCGTACGCGCCTCGTGTCACCACGACTAACAACTTCGGAAGCTCCGCCAGAATGGCGCCCTGCAAAAAGGCTACCAGCCCCTCGAGGTGAGCCAGGCAGGGGCTCGGCGGGCTCGGCTCTGGATTCCAAGCGAGCAAACACAGCTGTGGCTGCCCCGGCACTCTTCATCTTCTCGCCGATAGCAGCTGCTGTGTCCATCTCCGTCAAGGCGACCGCCTCGTAATGCTGCAGTCGGCCTTCACCCATTCTTGGAAATACACAACCTTCTGCATCCACTCCCTCCAGGGATAGACTTTCCTGGCAAAGCGCATGGGCGTCAACACCTTTGGCTCAGGCTGTGTGAGGATCGCCTCCAAGAGGCCGTGGCCATTTGTACCAGAGAAGCCTAGACGGAGACGAAAGCACAGCCATCATGTGTTTTCTTGAAAGATGTGTGGAAGTCCAAATGAGCAGCTAGAGAAAGCAGAACCCAACACTTAGTGCTTCTCCCTGACTTCGAAGGCATCTTACACCAGAAGCTTTTGCCTCTCACTGGCCCGAAACTCTAAAACACAAGAGCAAGTAAGTAGTTCGCCAAGGAGCCAAACGAAGACACGCCGGATCGAATGCTGCCGCTCTTCCACTCCACGAGCTTGTCGGGCATCAAGGTATTGAAGCCACCCAGGTCGATATTTGGATTAAGGGTTTCCAAATGCAGGTTCGGTGTGATCTGCGCCTTGGTGATGGCCAGGATCATCTTGGAGATGCCGGCCACACCTGCCGAGCCTGCAATTCACCGACACATGACACATGACATCATGTAGCCAACACTGATCCCTTCGCACGGCCTTCCGTGTGACCGATGTTGGACTTCGTAGCTGCGAGAATGAGCGGCTGGGAGTCGGTACGGCCCTTTCCATACACAGCCCTCTGAGCTCCCACCTCAATGGGATCGCCTAGTGCTGTTCCGGTGCCATGGCATTCGAGGCATGTTACATCCTCGCCCTGGGTGCCGCGATCTGCCAACGCCGCCCGCAGCACACGCTGCTGGGCAGTTCCGTTGGGCGCCGTGATGGTCGCCGCGCGCCCATCGTGGTTGATGGCGACTCCGCCGAGGCCAACCAAGTTGCACACCTCCTTTTCACTCTCGGAGGCTCGGATGAAGACAGAGCTGAGACCTTCACCCCGCGCGAAGCCGTCTGCCCGGGCATCAAAGGTCTTGCAGCGGCCGTCGAAGGACAAACCACGCATTTTGGAGAAACCAACCTCGGCTCGGCTTTCTGCTTGACTGCCGAAAACGAGATTTAAAACTCCTTCTCTGAAACCGCGGGGGCCCAAAAATCCCAAAGAAACTGAAAACGTAGCTGGCACCTTCCCGAGCCGCCCAGACACAGTCTGACAGCTGGACATTGGCACCGGTTGCCACAGCGCTCTGGCACCTGGCAGACCCGGCAACGCGCGGCCAGAACATCAGATCATGAAACTTCTGTGTGATGTGCCCAGCGACGTGACTGTGATCTTATGACACTCGGATACGTCGGACACTTTGCCCTGATTTATCAGATGATGTTCTGCTACCAGGGCAGACCTTTTTCCAGTTTTCTGTTTTTCTGTTTTCATGGCTCTGCGATTTTACGCATGTACTTCGGTGCGACATTGTCGTCTGTGTCAGTCTGTGTGCTTAGACTCGTATGCGACAGTGTGACTACTTGCGTATTTTGCGAAGCTCGCAGTGTTCACAGTTTAGCGACTGTGCCTCTAGAGCTTCGCCTATTTTTCTATATACAGTGATAGCACTCCAACCTGAGATAGCAGCGCGATGCTTCGTGTCGCCTGGTGTCGTTCTGAATGATTTCTGCCGATTAATAAACATTGTCCTGCCTTACAAAATCTGTCTGTTCCTTACGATATGAGACTGTATTGCTACAAGTGTGGTATGCAACCACGGTATCTTATGCATCGTGTTTTGATCATATTCTGGCCGTCCTCTCTGTCGCTAGATCAGGCACTTCTTCTTGATTGCACATTTCACTTCTGCTTGCCTGGGCAACTTGTGCGCCGCTCTCTAGCAGATTGATGAGTGCTGCCGAGAATAGTGCTTCGCACTGTGAAGGTGAGCAACACCAAATACAAGCATCATCCAAGCTGCTATGGCGAGCATGCCCTGCCGGGCTTGCCCGGCGGCGCTGTTTAGAGTAAACGTTTTGGGTGGGCGGGGCGGGGTGTCTCTGTGGGTAGGAGGAGTTCCCTCGACTGGACCAACTCGAAGATCTCCGCAGTTTCAAAGAGAAAAGTTTTATTGAGCAGTTTTGAGTTTCTATTTTATTTACGTATCGTGCGCTTTTCAGAATGGAGCCAGAAGCTGAGTGCGCGCACAATCTTAATGCTTATCATGGACGCAGAGCTCAGGCTCAGGAGCAGGGAAAATTTTGATTGTATGGGGCTAGCATTCACAAGCATCGTTGTGACGCATGACTGGACAGTTTAGCTTCACGGTAGCTCCATACTTTAGGACTACGAAAGCGGTAGAAGGGTGGCCCTGCGGCCCATGGTCGGCCATGAGTGGCACAGGACTCGGATGGCCCGCTTTAGTGCCACCATACCGCAACCGCCTTGAAGAGTGGTTTAGCACGCCTGAGAAATTGCATGCCTCATTCGACACGAGGGAAGAGCTTGTATCATTGCTTAGGGCTTGCGATAACACGCTTCTTGAAAGTAGCCTGCAGTTGATTGCGGATGCACTTCTTGAATGGCATGCAGACAATGCTCGCACAGTTGCGAGTGGGCGCAGGGAATCAAGGAGGCGCTTGACAGAGTGCTTGCCCAGTGTCCCGGGAACTGGCCTTAGCTTGCATGAGCATTACAATCAGATTGCACTTCAGAGTCCACTTGCGTTGCTTCCGGTTCTTCGCAAGCGGAAGTTAGCTACTGATAGGGTCGTGGATCGCGGTGCCAGGGCCACTGAGGAGATACGGCTTCGGCAGGAGTATGCATTGCGTCTTGCAGCCATCATGCAGGAGGCGCAACTGCCGGTGTGCAAGGTGCTTGCAGGGGTCAGCAATGCCGAGGAAGCCTGGCCACGGCTGTTCGGGACCCGTCGATCCAAGACATTGAGAAATCGCTTTAGAGCTTGGGACAAGTTTCGGGAATGGTTGCTTTATAGCCGTGGCAGGAGCTATCCGGAAGGGGTAGCTGATGTGCTAGATTATGCCAATGAACGATTCCAGGAAGGATGTGGAAAGACAGTTCTCGAAAGCCTGCAAGCCTCTCTCAGTGTAATTGAAGGTGTAGGGCGCGTGCCGTCTACGCAGCAGATATCTCAGGATCCCACATGGCAGGCGCAGCTCAAAAGTTACACAGCCGATTTGGTTTCGGCGGCACCGCCGGAGCAGCCAGCCAGCATGCTCACTGTTGCTATCGTTCTTGCATGTGAGATCTTCGTTTGCACGCCCGGGGAGCCTAGTTACTTGAGAGCATTGGGCTTTGTCTGCTTATTGATGGTTTGGGGATCGCTTCGGGCTGATGATGTTCAGGGGCTCTTGCCGCAGACCATGCTTCTGGACGAGCGAGGGCTTAGCATTGATCTCGCGCGGTCCAAGACTACAGGGCCCGACAAAAGGACCCACACCGTCAAGGTCTTCGTGGAACGGAGTATCTCTCTGACAGGGCATGATTGGCTGAAGGTCGGATATGCACTTTGGAAGGATTTCGATTTTGAGAGGGATTATCTGGTTTTGAAGGCCAATGAAGGTTTCACGGAACCCCTGGAGAAGTCGGTGCCTTCCTCCACGGTGGCCCTTTACTTCCGCAAAGTTCTCAGTGAGTTGAAAACGCCCAAGCGTGAGGGGCGCACATGGAAGGCCAATGATCAGCGTCCGCTGCTCCCGGGATACACTTCCAGTCATTTTACGGGACATTCTGCGAGGAACTTCCTTAGCTCGGTCGGAGCGGCCATCGATGTCGACCCCAGGGAGCTTGATTATCTGGGTCGCTGGAAGGTAGGTGGCGAAGGTTCTGCAACCTACATTCGCACTTCTAGGCAGGTTGTGCATCGTCTCCAGAGTCACATTGCTTGTTCCCTTGTCACCGGACAGCCAAAGCACTACATCGAGGTGGATTCCATCAAGGCTTTGACGGACTATGCAGCTAAGGCGGGGGAGAGCGAGTCTCAGGTTCGTCGCCGTCACACCCTCCTCGAGGGATCCAAAGGCTTGGGCGGGTCGTGGCCAACTCTGGCATTGGAAGTGGGTGTTGCGGCACCACCTTCTCCAGTCGAGCAGGTTTCGATGCCAGGCAGCCGGGGGGATTACTTCATCGTTACCTCTCGCACCACAGGCCTGAGGCGTCTGCACATGTTGGGCTGCTATGTCAAGCCTGAGAATTGTTATGATGTGAAATTTGTCAGTCATGTCGGCGCGGAGGACGTCGATAACATTTGCAAAGATTGCAAAGCAAGAATGAAGGCTCAGGCCGGAGAGGAGGAATCAGACCCCTCCAGCAGTGACAGTGGGAGCGAGTCGATGTGAAGGCAAAAGATGCTTTCGACTGCTGTGGATAGGCTGTGCCCTGCAAGTCCTAGCCAGAAGTTGGCATGAGTTGCTTATGCAAGGGCGCCTTGAAGTAGATCCACGATAACAGTCCATGCTGACTTTTCTCAGGGCATCTTGAAGTTGTTTCGCGATAACAGTTCATGCTGATTAAGTGCACGTGCTGGCGCTGTTCAAGCAGGAGGAAGTCTCACTCGGCGCAGGCCGTGAGGTGCCGGCGGATTCCGCATCCTGTCACAGGCCTCAGGGCGACGGGTGGACACATCGCAGTGCAGCTAAAGGCCTCAGGGCGGCTAGCAATCCAAGTCCTACAGGGCCACAGGCCGGGCGCGGCCTTCGCATCAGGAGTAGCGGGAGTTAGTTACTGTTGTCGCAATGGCCGCCACAGATGCCGAGAAGCGCGAGCTCATAACCAAAGCAGATAGCGATTTGCAGTTTGTGCTCGGAGAAGCTGGCTTGTCTCTGGATGCCCAGTATCGCATTGTGCAACGACACACAACACTTAGGCGATTCCAGGCAATCGCCGATTCCCGGCCGGAAGCTCGGGCTGCTGGGAAGGCGGACTTTGGTCTTGATGATGGGGCTGCTGATGGGCGACAACAAATCGCGGGGGTCGTCGCTGCATGGGAACTTGCACGCGACGTAATCAGCAAAGAGACGGAAACACGAGCAGAGGCGAAAGTGTTAGGCCAGCCGCGAATCTTGCAAGTCACAGAGAGGCAAGCAATGCTCAAGGCGGTAGCGGCCGTTCACGGGCAGCTGGGAGAGTCGGAGACTCCATCGTCTGAGTACCTCGCTCTCAAGTGCGAGGAGTGCGAAGCCAATGAGCCTCAGGCTTCAACCTTGGATGCCATAACTTCGAAGAAGAACACGCTCACCACGAGCATCCAGTCCAGCCTTGACGCTTCGGGGCGAATTCATATTACTCAGCACAAATCCAAGAGCGAGCTCCCGACTACTACAGAAGCTTATCGCAAGGTCCTTCGCGTGGAAGCTTTCACGTGGCTATGCATGGCATCCCGCTTTAAATCCAAGCAGTGGCTTCAGGATCTTAAGCTGTCTGACTTCGACCACTTCGTGAACTACATCCTTGGCGAAAAGGTCGCTCAGCTCTCAGTGCCTACGTCTCATCAGCCAGCCGATGTGCCTTCACTTTCGCCACCTTGGGAAGTAGTCTTGGCCTATGAGCACCGGTTGCGCAAGGAGGCTTTCCGTCTGGTCAATGATCAGGGTTATACTCTGGCAGGCGCTCTGGCTTCAGTCATTTCTTCAGCGGAGCTTAAGGAGACCTACTTCACGACGCCGCTCGCCTTGTCCATCATTGAGCGACCACGCAAGTGGCACAAAGGCAAGGGCAAGGGCAAGGATGGCAAGGACGGAGGCAAGACAGGAAAGGGCGGCAAGGGCAAAGACTCCAAGGGGGGCAAGAACGGCAAAAGCCCCTCGGACCCGGCTCTTAAGGGCCTTCAGTTGGTTTGGCGCACGCCGGAGGGCCGCGACATTTGCTTTGCATTCAACTCGCAGGGCTGCACCAATCCTTCATGCGAACGCTTGCATGTGTGCCGGGTCAAGGGCTGTTATCAGCCCCACTCAGCGACCGAGCATAAGCTTAAGACCAGCAAGCCCAAGGAGTGACTATCGCATGATTCGGTTTCTACCATTGAGACATCAGATCACATCGCCTACCAGCCTCAGCTGTACAGTCCGAGCGGGCTTCGTGTGCTCTACATTTTCGCGGGGCCCCATCGCAAAGGTGATGTGGGCTCTTACCTTCAGTCATTGGGCAATGTCACTAATCTTCTTCAGTTCGATCTTCAGCGCTCCACGGAGCATGACTTGACTAAGGAAGGCTTGTGGCAGCACATCTTTCAATTGCTTGGCGAAGGGGATTGGATCCTCATTGCCTCTCCTCCTTGTGAGACATTTTCCAGAGTCCGGCATCGCCACCCCGGGCCAAAGCCACTACGTTCAGCATTTTATCCTAGAGGTTTTCCATGGTTAAGCAATTTGCACGCGCAGCAGGTGGAGCAGGCTAATTATTTTCTTGATCAGACCGTGACGGCATGTCAACTTGCATGGCAGTATGTCTGGAGCACCCGGAGGATCTCGGCGCAACGCCGGATCACGAGTTACCGGCTTCCATCTGGCAGCTACCAGCTCTGCGTGAGCTCCAGGTTTCCACTCAGGCCATCACTTTTGCTTTCTTTCAATGCAGCTTTGAGGCTCCCACTTCCAAACCCACACGCCTTCTCACTAATCTACGGGCCTTTGTCGAGCAGCCTCCGCCTTTTGCTTCATGGCCACGCTTCGACTCCAGTGATCGCTACGTGGGGCCGTTGCCGCCACGCTGCCCGCACGGGAAACATGACAAAGTACTTGCAGGCCGAGAAGGCTCCCGCTGGGCGACCGAGTCATCAGCAGCCTATCCTCCTCTGTTGTGTGAGTGGCTTGCGCATGCTGTGCTTGCTTCCGCTTCGCAGGGGGGACTTGGGTCAGCGCCGCACAGCTCCGTTCCAGGTGAGGCAGGTCCAATGCAGGAATCCCACGAGGCAACGCAGGAGGTGCATCAGGATTTATGTGAAGTGCCGCAGGGGCTGCACCAGGTGGTTTCCGATAGGGTAGAGGCGGTTACTGATAGGGTAGAGGCGGTTGGCTTGATCGAGTCGGAAGCACCTCCTTCCACTTTGTTGCCGTCGCCAGACTCTTCGGGGCCAGACTCTTCGGGGCAACCGCAGCCGAAGGCAGCACCTAGGGGGGTTAAGAAACAAGTTGAAGCCGAGGAGTTCGCACGCATCGTTTCTTCATCGAGAGCCCCGACTCGGGCCGAGGTCCATGCTCTCTTCAAACTGCTGCCGCATGAGACTCCGCCTAGGTCGGCGGTGTCCTCTAATTGGGTTCCTAGCAGCTTTTCGACAGGCTTGTACCGGAAGGGTGGAGGCCTGATCGGGCTCAGGTCCGCGTGCAAAGGCTTCCCGGCTTCCACAGAAGCTTTGGCATCCTTCGTGCGTAGCAACATGCCCGGGCACCCCTTTACCACGATTAGCCTTTACCTTAACACTGGCACCAAGCCCCACAAAGACTCCAGGAACGCACCTTTGCCCAATGGGATAATAGGGGTTACTGACTTCGTAGGAGGAGAGATCTGGGTCGAGGCCCAGGATGGGGAGTCTGTTCAGATTGTTGACGGTAAGCGCTTAAGTGGTCACCTTCTTCCGATCAGTGAGACACCCACCTACATACATGCCTACCGCGATCTTCACCTCACAATGCCCTGGAAAGGTAAGAGATTAGTCATCATAGCTTTCAGTGTATCGGAGCATACTCAGGCATGCGATGAGGATCTCGCGTTTCTTCGCGGGCATGGTTTCGTCCTTCCGGGCGAAGAGCACAGTGTTGATCTTGAGGCGGTCCAGTCAGATGATTCGGAGGTGCTGGAGGGGGGTGAGGTCGAAAGGCCGGAGCCCTTCAAGCATCAGGAGTGCCACAACATCGGGCTGCCTTTGAACCTCGAGTGGGATGGCAAAACTCAGCCGATCACGGATGGCTTTGGACTCTGCTCACCCACTAGATGGCCTCCGGAAGCCAGGGGGGGCCTGCTGCCCAAGCAGGCTTTGGAGTTCGCCACTGCCATGCATCAAGTGCTTCGAGACTTTGTAGCGGACGTTGTGCCTGATATCAAGCGCACGGCGATGGAGCTTGCGCTAGGCCGCCTTAAGGAATCGCCTTTCACTCCCGAGATGTTAGGGGTCCTTAGGAAGGATTGGTTTAGTTGCATAGAGGTTGCTTCGGGAGGCAAGTGTACGGATCTTGATGTGGTGCCGAGTGGCCAGCCATTCTTCTTGCATGCTGTGTCTGCGACGGCTCGGCTGTTGCAGGACCCAGATTGGAAAGCCGTTTCTTGCCAGGAGGACTCCTATGTCAGCGGGGTCGCGATCGGTTATGACTGCCCCGCGCCTCACTTGCCACAGGTGTACGAGTACAAACACAAGTCCCGCAAGCTCGATGAATCGGATGCCGAGTGGCATCGCGAGAACTATTCGTCGGCAAACGAAACATCGGATCAGCTTGAGAAGAAGTTTGCAGAGGAAGAGGCTCTTGGGCGCATGGCGCCTTCCACGTTGCCGGTTCTTGAGCAAAAGTACGGGCGGGATAGGGTTAGGATAGCTTCTTTAGGTTCCTTGATTAAACCAGACGGTTCCGCTCGGCCATACACGATGGCACCCACGGTGTGCATGTCAACAATGGTATTAGGCTACTTAATCAGCAATCCAATCCCGGACCCCAGGAGGTAGTTCACCTTGTGCGCAGCGCAAAGCAAAGTCAGGAGGCCACCTTTTGCCTCACCGGCGATGTGACGGCGGCTCACAGGTTGTTCCTTGTCAGAGAGGCCGACTGGCCTTTGTTGTGCTGTAAGGTGCGCAACGACACGCCGGTCGTTTGGTACAACAAAGTAGGAACGTTCGGTATATCATCATCCGCCTTCCTTTGGTCCAGATTGTTTGGAATCATCGGCCGCTGCACCGCGCGCTTTCTGTTGACATTGTGGTTCTATCACCTCGTCTTCGTAGATGATGTTCACGCCAACTTCGCAGGAAGGGAGAAATTTCATCATTTGCTCATGTGGCTAGCATGCTTCGAGATGTTTGGCACACCTTTCGCATACAAGAAGTTCCGCGGTGGGCTCACTTCGGCTTTTGTGGGTTACGAACTTTCTTATCCAGACCAGAGGGTCGGAATTTCCGAATCGCGGGGCCAGTGGCTCTTGAAATGGATCGCTGAGGCTCGGTCCTCGAAGTTTGTTGTTTCGGTTCGCAGGTTTGCTGAGTTCTTAGGGAGGCTGGGCTTCGTCGCTCGGCTTTTGGTTTGGCTTAAGGCACACCTTGCACCGCTTTACAGCTGGAGGGCAGCGGTGAACGACAGTTCAGTCGCTCGGATGCCCGACACCGTCATCCTTACTCTTGAATATCTTGACCTCACGTTCAGGGACATGACGTTCAAGGTCGCCGCAGCAAGATCGGTCAAAAGAGAAGGCGTGGCCTTCCGCACTGATGCAAAGTGCGCGGACGGGTACGTGGTCCTTGGGGGTTGGGATTGCGCAGGCACAACTCAGGAGTCCAGATGGTTCTCACTTCGACTTACTCCCTCAGAGGCCCCTTACCTCTTCGACTCAGAAGGTCACAGTCAGTGGGCTTCGGCATCGGCTGAATTGCTGGCCACGCTGGCTGCACTGCACATCTTCGGTCACCTTGAAGCCGGGCCAACTAGGCGTTTGATGAAGGTTGAGGTTCTAGCTCAGACGGATAATAAGTCTAACGAGGGCTTGACTCGCAAGGGTTCTACAACGCGCTGGCCCTTGCTCATGGTTAACATGCAGCTCACCCATGTTCTCATGAAGGCCGGCTTGCGGTTGAACTTGGGATGGCGTCCACGGGACGAAAATCAGGAGGCCGATGATTTAACCAACGAAATCTTCGACCGTTTCTCTGAGGAGTTGCGGGTCCCAGTGCAGTACTCCGAATTGCCGCTTTCCTTTCTTCACACTCTTTACGAAGCCAGGCGTGCACAGCTGAGCAGCCGTGAAGTGGATTCCATCCGCGACACGGTCGGTGGCAGGCCACGCTTCAGAGGCAAGAGAAAGAGAGAGAAGTCTCCTTGGTGACGTGCCGGCCTGCGGAAGGGGGGGCACAGGCACACAGGTGCGCCTTCCCGACACGTCAAAGACCTGTTCAAGAATTAGATGCCTGCGTGAGCCTGCCGCCATCCGTTTGAAAACATCCTGCGTGCTCCTTTCGGCAGTTGCTATCTCTTTAGATATTCATCATTAAGTGGCGAGGATACATTTGATTGGAGTCCCAAGAGGCGAAAGCAAGATATGAGAATTTATACCCCATATATTCTCCGGGGATACCGTCGGTGCATTTATACCTTCGCCGATATTTCGCTTTGCCCAATATATCTTCTGGGCAATAAAATTTCTGATGAGGGAACTGAGTTTCGTAAACTTCGCTCACAGCGCCCTTCCTAAACACAACGGTTACGGAGAACAGGCGTTTTGGCTTGCAGTTAGCTCCAAGCGCTCCAAAACGGGCAACGGCTGGGTAGAGCCGGCTAAAACTGCTGTGCGTGGGAGGGGGCAGGCAATGGCTCCTTCCTCTGGTGGCGCGGCCACCTTTTCTTCTGATATGCGAAGGCGACTCAGAGCTATGACAGCTCAACTACACAAGGATGACAACGACGGCTTGAGTCTACCCCTCAGGCCTTGGGCTCGCGGGCCCTTAGCACCATGGAGCTGGTCTGGCCAGCAAGGCGAAGCTTCCCCTTTGGAAGCGAGGCACAAATTTTGGAAACAATGCTGCTTGGGAAGCAGCAACTGGGGTGCATCCGGGGCGCCAGGGGGCGCTAGAGATGCAAAAGTGGCGAGGGCCATGGGTCTTCTTGTGAATTTCATTGTGGAGAAGCGACAGGCCTACCTCCTTGGTGCGAGGCAGGCTTGGCAAAAGATGCTCGCCATCGGCATTGGACCAAGCATGCTGTGGTCTCCTGTGGGCGAGTTTGGCATCCTGCCTTTGGAAGGTGAGCTCTGGCCAACGGCTGCCTTTTGCAGCACCGAGGCCAACAGAGCTTGTGACAGTGAAAGAAGTGATATGGCCCGGGGCAGCGATGCTGCCAACAGGGCCGGCGAAACAATCAGTGCAAGTGCTGCTGCAGTGGGCGGCGGCGAGATTATCAGTGCTTGTGATTTCTCGGCTGCGGGCTGTGGCGAGGAAAATGGAGACAGCGATCTTGTTGCTGTGGGCAATCATTTCGACAGTGATGCTTTCACTTGTGGACATGGTGAGACAGATTGCCCTGGCTTTTGTGCTGCTGCGAGCGGCGATCGGCAAGCCACGGCATGTATCGCTGCTGGTCCCTCTCTTGATGGCCACATTTGCTGGGAAGAGGTGCACGATGAAGGCAGCCACGGCATTGCTTTCAGCATCTACGACTCCACCATCGACGTTCCTGCTTTTAGGTCTAGGGGGAACCGGACCCAAGAACCGAGAAGAACAACAGAAGATCCGCGTGAGGACAAAGAGTGTTGTAGGGTAGGTAAGGTGTCTGTGTCACGTCGACCAGATGCCGGGGACCGGACCCTAGAACCGAGAAGAAACAATCAAGATCCGCTCGAGGACAAAAAGGGTGAACATGCTAGCTCCACCGGCCCGCCCATGGGCCCCCCGGGGCCTTCAGCCTCGCAGTGCGGAAGCCATGGCAACAGTGTTGGCTTTCAGGTTCCTCCCGCTTGCGCGGCGGCGGCTGCTGGCGGCCAGTTGAGCGAGCACTACCACCCGAAGGGCAAGTCCACCGACACGTTTCTCGAGGACCTGGAGGGCACGATCACTGGCGACGGCGACGCGAGAGGACAGCCGTCCCAAGACGACAGTCGCGGGCGACGACTTGATGTTGGCAGCTCCGGTGCCACCTGCATGTGCATCCCTGGGACCCCCCTAAGGTTTAGTCCTGTTGGGTTCCCCGGTACTGCGACGAAGCTGCATCGCAAGAGACTGCTGCCAACATTGCGGGCTTACACCAAGCCTCGCAAGCGCTTCTGCTGCAGTGTGACAGGCACTCTGCAAATCATGCCAGGGCATCCAGGACAGGGTTCACGTGATCATGTGCGGCAGGTTCCCTTGTGCACAACATGTGTTGCTTCTTCTGAACCCTTGCTTGATCCGACTTCCCAATGTTGGTGCTGTGGCGCAACCGGCCGGCCTTATCCGAGGTGTGGTCGGGAACCCTCGAAAGAGAGCGAGAAATCCCACCAAGGACAGGTCAGGACCTCTGCTGCCCGCACGGATTTGCATGATGCCTCTTTTCTTGAAAGTGCCGAAGCTAGCCTGAGGTGCGGTCAAGATTGGTCGAAAGATCCTAGCATATCCCACCGAAGGATCGCTGAAGCAGATTGTGCCATCTTGCATGAATCCCAATCCGACAATACCCAGTCTTCTCCTGCTCTGGCTCCCTCTGCTGCTGCAGGTCGAACGAGTGTGCAAGAGCCCGTGACATCCTCACGAGCGCCCTGCCGGTCTTCACTTCGAGGCTGGCTTCAGTGTTGCACCGCTTTCCTTGATCGCGGTAAGGCTGCTTTCGGTTGCTGTAACTCTGAGTTTCCCTTTGTGGCTTGTGACCCCAGCCGGGGCAACGGTCCGGATGGTAACATTGAAGCGCGACCCGGCGAGGTCAACCACCCAGGGCCGAGGTTCAATTGCAAGCGGCAGCTCCCAGCACTGAGGGCGTACACTAAGCCTCGAAAACGCTGCTGCCGAAGCGCGGCAGGTGCTTCGATCAGCGCACGGTGCCGTGACTGCAAGCGGCCGCTCCCAGCACCGTGTGCCTATGTGAAGCCCCGCAAACGCTTCTGCAACCGTGGCGATGGCACCCTGCAGGCGAGGGCTGGACATCAGCAACAACTGCATTCTAATCAAGTGCCGCCGGTTCCCCTGGTTCCCTTCGGGTATAATCCCTTCCGGCCCCAGCCGAACTTTGAGCGCAACACATGCATGATACCCTCAGCCTCCTTGCTTGATCCGACTTTCAAGTGTTGGTGCTGTGGCGCAACCGGCCAGCCTTGCCTGAGGTGTGGTCGAGACTCCTCGGAAGAGGGCGAGAAATCCTGCCAAGGGCGGGTTAGGACCACTGCTGCCCGCACGGATCCACAGAATGATCTCCTTCTCCAAAGTGCTGAAGCCAGCCCGAGGTGTGGTCAAGTTTGGTTGAAAGACCCTAGCATTTCCCACCGAGGGTCAGCTACAACCACTGGTGCAGCCCTGCAAGCATCCCACTCCGGCAACACCCTGCTTTCCCCTGCCTTGGTCCTCGATGCTACTGCAGGTCAAGAGCGCTCGCAAGAGCCCGGCATATCCTCAGATGCATCCTGCCGAACTTCGTTCCGAGGCTGGCTCCTGTTGTGCCCCTCGTTTCTTGATTGCAGTACAGTAAGGTCTTCGCAGGTTGGTGCAACATTAGGTTTCCTTTTGAGAGTTGCACCCCCAGCCGGGATCAGTGCCATGACGACAAAACTGGAGAGAGAATCGGGGAAGCCAGACACCCGGGCCCGAGGTTCAGTCCCACAGGTGGCTGCATTCAGAGCGCTCCCAGCCGGGAGTGGTGTCATGACGACAAGGCTGGTGCCCGAATTGGAGAGGCCAGCCACCCGGGTCCGGGTTTCGACTTGGGGGGTGGTTTCGCTGATGCACTCAAGCAACAAATCACAACTAGTGCAGGAGGCAGTGCAAAAGATCCTTGCTGATCTCAATCTGGGCTCCCTCCTGGGGGGTCAAGTGTCAGTGCCACTGGCAAACAGTCCTTTTGCTCCCTTGCTTCCGAATGCTGCAGGGACTGGCGACGGTGTTCCGCCCAGATCCCGCAGAAAGCGCAAAAGTAAGGGGCAACAACCCCGAGCAGAGCAGCCAGAGCCCAAAGGCAAGGCCAAAGGCAAAGGCAAGCACCAAGGCGAAGGTGATAAGACCCTGCACCCTCCTAAGCCCTCGACCGAGGCCCCTGCAAACCCCTCTCGAGGTAAAGGCATCGGCATCACACCGGAGGATGCAAAGGCTGGCTGGGTCACTGTTGGCCCAAGAGCACGACCGAAACCCAATGACGAATTCTGCTTAAGAGCACAAGATTGGAATCAGCCCCTCCTTGATCCCACAAAGTTCGCTGAAAAGCTTGAGGCGATCCCACAGGGTGAGAAACTGACAGGCGTGATCTTGTGCAACTCTGAGCAGGCTCAGCTTATCAAGGCCATGGCAGCTGGATGTACCAAGGCTTATTCCGTCACTCTGGTGTGCCTCGATCCTGCGGGAACCGCCCGGGTCCCAGGCCTCGTGAAGGATCAGCTGCAATTCCGCAAAGCCACTACGGGCTTCCTTCGCTCTGATCCGACAGATGCTGTCCCGGCACCTAAGGGTGCCAAGCCCACTTTTGCCGTGGTTCGCAAGCCCTCTGTGGTCCTGCATGCGAGGATCCCGAAAAGCTTTGCCACCGAAAAGCTTTGGGCTGCTGTTGCCAAGACACCCTCCCGTGTCATGATGCAGTGGATGGCAGACCACCATGTCAATGTGCTGGACGCCTGGGGCTGGAAGGAAGAACGCCTCGCTAAGGACCTCCAGCTGTATGGCCTTCTCAGGGTCAGCGAAAGTGACTTGAAGCCAGTGCTTGCGCTCTCTGGCATCGACGGCATCTTTCTTGAATGCGCTAAGAATAAAGAAGCACCGAAGCTTCCCACCAAAATCACTTGGGTTGAACCTACCAAGGGCGAGGCTCCGGGTGAATACCTTGCTCGCATGCGGCGTTCGGCTGGGGACCTAGGTCTCGCACATCGTGGAGGCAAACTCGGCCAAATTGCACCACTTGCCGACGGCGAGCCCATTGCGAAAATCTGGTCGGTGCCGTGGGTCCCGGCCGATTGGACTGTCGAGCAGGTCACCGACCTGCTAAAAGCCTCTTTCACGGAAATCGCCATGCTCAAACAATTGCGCAAGAAAGCTTCCAAGGTGTTCTACTTTCGTGCTGCAGCCAAGGAGCCAGACCGGGATCTCATTCCCCTCCCGGCCAAGGATGGCGACACTGAGCTGACTTTGTGGGCCGCGGTTGCACCTCCGCGCACCCCGGTGCGAC